AAAAAAAAAAAAAAAAAAAAAAAAAAAAGTAGTGGACATTCATTGGGCACATACTGTTTTCGAAGATTATGTCTGTGGTTGTCCCTGTTTCACATCTGGGGAAATTGAGGCTGGTGAAGAAGACAAAGCCCCTTGTAGAAGGTCAGCCAGCCAGTGGGTAGCAGAGCTAGGATTTGAACCCTGAGAGCGTGGAAATCCAAGACGCCGCCTTATTCTCTTTACCCAGAGGGGCCTGTGCTCTGTGCTAGGCCCTCAGACACAAATGATAACATGCACATCCCTGGCCCCGGGACAGCCTGCAGCTTTACTGCCGCTCCTCACACAGGCCTGCAAAGTAGCTAGAACCGTCATCCCTCTTTTTCTCCTTTTCTTCCTCCCCTCTTTCCTTTTATCCTTTCCTTCTTTCTCGTGAGGTATGTGTATAAAGTACAGACGGCAAAGTGCGCGAATGTTAAAGGTGAGGCTTGATGTACGCTTGCCTGTGTTCCCACCCGTGTCACCAACGCCCCATCAAGACAACACGTCTCCACCTCCTGAGAGGTTCCCTGGAGCCCCCTCCCAGTCGGGAACCACCACCACCAGCACTGTTCTGACTTTTATTACCATAGATTGATCTTGCCTATCTTCAGACTTCATAGAAAGCTTTCCCAGTTTTACAGTTGAGGAAACCGAGGCTCAGAGAGGCGAAGCAACTAGTCCCAGGTCCCCCAGCTTCCAAGTGGCAGAGCCAGGAGGTGAGCCCACATCTGTCTGCCACTGCCCCACGGGTTCTCATCACCCATGCTGGTGACAGGAGGAGTCAGGCCCACAAGAGCCCCCAAACAGCAGTGGTGAATCCACAAAAAGCATTGATTTTCCCTCCAGGTGGGCTGATTTCTAGCCTCTGTTTGCCTTTTAAAATCAGTTCAGCCAATAACGTTAACTAGCCTTGGCAGGCACCTGCCAGTGGTGCTGAGGGCAGGCCTGCAGCGCTGGCATGGGGTGGCAGGAGGCCAGGGCCCCTGGAACATTTTCTTTGGACGTGGAAGGCGGCTGTATTGACCTCAACTGGGCGGGCGGCACAGGTGATTGAACCGTGTTGATCCTGCGGGCCGGAGCCCTTCCGGAAGGTGCCTGGGAGCAGCCAGTCCTGGCCTTACGTAACCGGACTGGCCCCAAGCTCTGCAGGCCGGTGAGTTTTCCATCTCCTCCCCTTTGTCTGGGCCGGCACTTCAGCCCCTGGGAGCCTGGGCTCCGTGGGCTGGGAGAGGCCTCCTGGGGCCTCGAGGGTGAGCTCACCTTGGTGCCACACCTGGGATTCACCTCGCTCTGTGTTGAGGTCACTTCCAGAGGATTGCCAGGGGATGACATCATCCCACAATCCCTCAGTGATGTGCAAGGGCCCAGCCTCCCAGGTAGGAAAGGTGAGTAGCTTCAAGGAAGAGTCTCACTCAGCTGGGAAGGGAAGCTGGGGGCGCTCCCTCCGTGATGTCGTTAATCACTCAGTGATCTCATTACTCAGCAACCTACAGAGCTGCGAGTTATGGCAGGGGTAGAAATTGGGCACTGAAGGCTTAAGAAGGACCACTTGGCTGTGAAGAAGCTGATTTTCCTCCAGCATAACCTCCCGTGGTCCCCAGCACTCCTCTGCCACTGGCTCATTTGTTCTTCCTGATCTCTGACGTGGGCCAACGCTATGAGCCTGCCAAGCCCAGGCCCCTGTCTCCTCTCTCACACCCTGTGGCCTCAGAGGACAGGGGCCCCATTCAACTTCCCCTTTGACCCTGGATGCTGAGGACGAGAGGGAGGGGAGGCAGCATGAGCCCTGGAGAACCTGGTGGAAGGCAGACCTGAGTTGGGGCTCCATCTTGGCCAGCTCTTGCTGTGTGACCTTGGGGATGGGACTCACTTTCTCTGAGCCTCAGTTTCCTGGTTCTAAAGCGGAATTTCCTGGTGGTCCAGTGGTTAGGACTCCACGCTTCCACTGCAGGGGGGCACGGATTTGATCCCTGGTCAGGAAACTAAGATCCCGCATGTCGCGTGGCACAGCTAAGATAAATAAATAAATAAAATAGGGATCAGGACATTTCACAGGAGCAGAAGGGATACGATGAATGCATATAGGCCTGATTGGGGCCTTTCCTGGCTTAATGGTCTGGAGGCCCAGCGATCTGAAGGCTAAACCGAGTCTGTTGCTCTCTTGTCTCTGGGAACATCCTTGTGACCCCCACAAGGAAACAAGCTCTAGGTATCTTTTTGAGCCTACCTTTTCTTGTTAATTGAGCATCAGCTGTATCACACTAGGAGCCAGGGGCACAAAGACAGGGTCTTAGTAGAAATGAAGTGCCCTTGCCCTGGCCTGACTCATTCTTTCACAAAGAAGTGGCCATTTATAAGGCTGTCTTAGAGACCAGTTGCTTAGAGCTGACAGTCCTTTATTTTACAGCCTGTGGACAGGACCCACGGGGCCTGATTCATGTTTAAAATAACCACAGCCCGGCCACCTCAAGCACTGCCCCGTAGCTGCCCGTTAGGCCGGCCTTTAGAATGGGTGCCCTCTCCCCGCGGGGAGTTTACTTGGGAATCAGAAGTGAGCTTCAGCCACAGCCATCCGGTGTCCACTCAGCAGCTCCTCGGCGGTGTCTCCAAGTCACCTTGAGTTCGGCACGGCCGTATGGGACTCGGTACCTTTCCCTCCCCAATAGTCCTGCTTCTCTTCCAGGGGCTCCCAGCCCAGTGAATGGTTCCAGAAAGAAACGTGGCCATCTGCTTTCATGCCTCCCTCGACCCGCCCCTGTGCCCTGTCCATCAGTGAGTCCAGGCTGCTCTGTACACCATACTTGCATCCCTTCCTCCTCTCCATCCCCACCACTCTGGGTCCAGGCCACCATCTCTGACCTGCACCACTGCAGCAGCCTCCCAGGTCTCCCTAGTGCACAGGGCCCTCTGGTTGGTCCTAAGCCTCCAGAGGGATCCTATCAAAGTGCCAGCCTGACCATGCTGCTGTGCTTAGGATCCAGTCTGATGGCCTCTGGCCCACCTAACCTGGCCCCCACCCCTTCTCCGACTGCATCGCACCCACGTCCCTTTGCTCTGTGCTGCAGCCGTGGTGACCTTTGTCCAATTACCCCAACGACCCATGCCCTTTCCGCTTCCAGACCTCTGCAGTGCTGTCCCGACGACTCTCCCTCCCTCTTTGCCAGGACAGCCTACTCATCCTTCAGACCTCAACTCCCAGAGACAGCTTCCCAGCCCACTGTCCCCAGGGGTCCATCACGCCATGAGTCCCTCCCACGGCACCCCACAGCTTTCCAGCAAAGTTGGGATAAGGTGTTTGTTTAGGAGCTGAGTGATCTCTCTAAGCTCAATGAAGGCAGAGACCGTGTCTGTCTGGTTCCTCACTGTCTCTAGTGCCTGACAGGTAGTAAGTGCTCAAAAAGTATTGGTTGAATACTTAGCATATCGCTAACAGATCCCAGTGTGGTGACATTGTCCCCAACAGCAAGGTGGCCTAGCTGTCCACGGAGCCACCTGCCCACACTGTGCCTCCCCCGCCCCACCTAGATGCCCACGTCCCTGTCCCTGAGAGCTGCAGGTATGTTACCTTACATGGTAAAGGGAACTTTACACATGTGATTATGTCAAGGGTCTTGAGATGGGGGATGATCCTGGGTTATCCAGGTGGGCAGGATGGAATCACAAGAGTCCTTATAAGAGGGAGTTAGGAGGTCAGAGAGGAGAGAAGATGCCCTGCGGCTGGCTTGGAAGATGGAAGAAGGGGCTATGAGCCGAGGCCTCTAGAAGCTGAAAAGGGCAAGAAAACCGATTCACCCCAGGAGTTCAGCCCTGCAGACCCATCTCAGACTTCGGACCTCCAGAAGTATAAGAGAATAAATGCGTACTGTTTTAAGCCGTTAACTTGGTGATAATTCATTCCAGCAGCCACAGGAAAGTAATACATGTATTAGTCTAGCTGTATCTAGGGCTTTGTGAGAGCCTGGGTGAGGATGAGTACCCAGAGAATCCTCGACTTCCCAGCCGGCTTGGAGGGGGGGGGGTGGGAGGGTGGGGGGCCGAGT